TTGATGGACGGTCAGGAGCCTCCAGGGCTGTGGGCATATCCCTAGACTATGATGGACACACTATAGTTTTGTAACCCACCCACTAACCAGCCCACAATCCCGCCCATTGCTCCCCCATTCAAGCCCATTCCACCACCCACCCACATTGTTGGCCATTGTCCCATCATTCAAGCCCATTCTACCACTCACGCAAAAATCCACCCAAATTATTGCCAATTGCTCCCTCAATCAAGCCCATTGTACCATCCACCCAAAACCCACCTACATTGTTGCTCATTGCCCCACCATTCAAGCTCATTCCACCACCCACCCAAAAACCCACCACACATTAATGCCCCTGCCCCCTCACTTGTGACACGTGTCCTGATATAAAGTGGCTAATATTGGAAAATATAGAAGAAAGACAGGCTATTCTCTACACCAGGGGTGGGCAATTCAGGCTCGATATAAACTCTGCTGCCTGAGCTTAGAAATCTGCAGCCCGAAAATACCGAAAGAAAACAAAAAATCAACGTGATGAGGAAAGTCAGACATCGGGCGGCAGAAAACTCCCTTTAAATAGCCCGCATGTCCCTTTAAGTGAACGCAGCGGTAATGCGCACGTCTCGCGTGCGGTGGGAATTGCCCGGCTGTAATGGGCGGGAGGACCTGCCGCAGCTTTGATAATGATTGATTGTTTAGCAGTCAGCAATCAATGATGGAGCCATTGCTAATCACCCTCACAATGTATCGCTGTGACTTCTTTAACACTCCTCGTAATTCGGCTTTTTAAATAAATCACTAAACTGATTTTATATTCAACGCCGCAGCGCAGAGAGGCCGAGGGGGCGACCCGCTGACTGCTCGTCGTAAACACGCGGCTAAAATTACATGCGAGGGGGTTTGGGGGTCTTGCACAATTGTACCGGTTCCTCTGATATCACTGCACACCGGCAGCTTCTCACAATGTGCATTAGAAGCTGCAGCAAGTCAGATAGAGCTCCGCCTCATTTCCTGGCTGGAGGACGTCCAGCATCATCTAGAGCAGTGGTTCTCACCCTTTCTAGGGCCGGGGACCCCTTGGTAACATTTGCCAAGTTGTGGTGACCCCCAACGGTAAAATTTAGAGATGACGTGGCTGCTGCAGCGACATCTGGCGGCGTGGCGGGAGAACTGACTCTGCTGTGCAAGGAGAGGGCTGAGGAGGAACCTCACCTTATTATTGTTTATTTTTTATAATTTTCTTATTTTTGAATAATTTGTTTCTTATTTCTTTTTAATCGCTTTTTTATTTTTTTTCATTCTTTTATTTTTATTTCTTTAATAATTGTTGTATCTATTTTTTTTCCACTTAACTTAATTGCTATCACACAGAGGTAACAAGCCCCCTGTGTGATGGCAATTGGGGGTGACAGGTTCTCTTTATTGACCCCTGTCACCTCCAATACAGGAGTCCCAGCACAGCACTGTGCTGGAACTTCTGTGACAGGTGAGAGGGGAAGAGCACGGCACGGCACAGCACAGCTCTCCCCTCTCACTGTGTACATGGAGCGGCGGGGT